ATGCTTAAAGGCTACATCAAATTAAATTTCTTTGGCTGAAACTGAAATTCAGGATTTTTTTGTTTGTTTACTTGTTAGTAATTTTTTCCTTGTTTTGTAAACACATTTTACTTATGTGTTTTAAAGAAATTACAAGTTAATGAGGGAAAAAAAATACTTCTATTATTGATGAAGTCAGTCCTTTCAGTAGGATAAAACTGAAGTGATGATAAATAAAAACAGTTAACATAAAGTTCATATAGTTATTACAACATGTACAGTGTGTGCCTGAAAAATACGTCATTGACGTATTTTTACACTCGTTTGTAGGCCTCTTTAATTTTCTCAGTAAATATGTCCACCCTTTTTTTCCTCTTCAAGAATCTTCAGCTGGAAATGTTTTTGCATCCCAGGTTACTTGTTTTCTAGTTTTGATTTCAGCAGTCTTGTTTTACAAAGTCTAGATCCACTGCAGTTTCCTGGAAGTGAGTGGATGGAGTGAAATGTAATAGGATCCAGGCTCCTCTACCCAAGCACTGAAAATCAGTACTTAAATCATGGAAAGTCTGTCTACCGGTGCCAGAAGTTTTGCAGCTATATGTTAAATTAGATATAGTGAAAGATAAAGTTTAAATGACTTGAAGTGTCATTTTCATTGATTCAGCAAATGCTTCAGTAAAATCCAATTACTAGTGGAATTAACAATATTAATCTCTATGCTTTTTTTGAAACCGTTACACAGGATTCCAGGAGGCTGGTTTTAGTCGAATATATTCTGACTATGGCTTCAAAGTCACAGTCAACTGATCAGCTCTGTCTGCTCCCTCTTTTGTGTGCCTGCCTGAGCTCCTGACATGTGATGTGATTGTTCCCAGTGTGCCTGCTATCTCTGGGCCCTAGAGGAGAGGGTGTGAGGTCAAACAGGTCAGCTTTACTGCTCATCCACGTACAGCCTGAGGGCAGCAAGAGGGAAGCTGAACAATGGCCCTCATTTAAAGGCGTTCCTATGGAAATTGCAGGAAATGCATTGCTTTATGTCACCCAAGATTAGGCTACACTGTAATAGGAAAACAATGAGCGTGGAAATCGTTACTGATGTTGACAGCCTCTTTGCTTTCTCCTAGCAGCAGCAGCACCGAGGCTCAGGGGTGGCCGTGCTCAGGAGCGTCGCTGTCTCCGAAGCACAGCGGCTCAGTGGCTCAGTGGCCGCTTCTTGCAGACGCTTAGTGATCTGTGTGAGTGTGTGAGTGAGAGAACGTGGGCTGCATACTGCACAGCCTCCAGCATTCGGGGAATCCTAATGAATTCCTCTAGCTGAGGGCGGGGAGCAGCATTTATATTTCAGCAGCTTGTAGCCGTAGGGGAGGCAGATGAAGCACCATATGTAGGTCACACCCGCCGTAACTTCAACTGCGCTGCCCTCCGTTTACCCCTCACTAGGGTTTTCGCCGATCAAGGCGGCGCAGGAGTCATGTTCTATTTTGTGCAATTGCCAGGCCATTAAAGAGGAAATGGGTATTGTTCTTTCCTCTGAGTTATGGCCTTCTGTTTCTTCTTGATGGGTTATTAGGAATATACAGCCATCATTATTAGCTTAATGTACTAGAGACTGTAATTTGTTTTAGGGCTGCACAATATGTCATGTGTTAACCATTATCATGATATTGGCCTTTGTAGTACTGATATCACACAATGTCAACGAGCCCTCTGACCAATCACGGTTCCAGAAAAGGTTTTCTGTGGGTGTTTTAGCTGTCATGAATAACTAGAATGCACAAGTATTTGTGCATTGCATTGATATTATATTCTCTGTTTAGTATTCAAAGCTGTTTTTAAACCACACTAATTGTAGACAGTGATTACCATGTGAGAAAAAAATGTACACTGGTTTAGTTGACTGTAGGGTTGGGCATTATGACTATTTTATTGTATTGTGGTAAATTTCTTCACAATATGCTTTTTTGAGCATATTGTAGATGTCGTCAGTACTTACATGATTCATGACAAAGAGAGCATAATTAGCACCTGTTTAATTGGATTTAGACACTGGTAGATTCATAGGTAGATTCATAGGTAGACACTGAATATGAATCATTGTACACAAAGTTATTGATAGTATTTTGTTAATGTGGCACTACTGGTTCTTTTTGGTCTGTTCCAACATAAACTATAGTTGAACGTGTCAGAAATTCATGCCAGACATCCACGTTACCTCTCCTCAGAGCACAATGAACTGCACTGCTTTCCATGAGGCCGCATAATCCAAAAGTGCAAATATGCTTAAGAAGGAAAGCTTATGTGGGTTAGACAGGCAATGAGAAGAACCACGGTAAGGAGAGTGGATGCTTTAATGCACCACCACCACACTGTCTGACTGCATTTATAGTGTGCAGGTGCTATAAACTTGGACGGCAGGCTCATGTGTTGTCTTTTTTTGTGCATGTGTGGAAGGCTGCTGTACTTTATCTGCTGCTTTATCAGTTTAACAAGCAAGAAGAGATCTACTTTGCACTGCTATAGCCAGACAACATAATAGGGCAGATTCAGGACATCGACTAACATTAAAAGAAAATTTGTGAAAAGAAAGCAGATTGCAAGACATATATAATTACCTTTGTGCAACGTTAGGGCAGTCATGTTTCCTGAAAATTAAAGCCTCCCATTAGATTTACAGTCGTGATAGATGGAAACTATTGGCTCATGCCTTGTGGGGGTGGGATTAGACTGGATCTCTGTGGAGTTCGCGCTTCACTCACATGCCAGTGGGAAAAGTTTTTTTTTTGATGGATTGAAACACTGATTAAAATGGAAGCATATCTGTTCCATCAGACTGAAAAAATGCTTCCAGCATTAATGTTTTCAAGGCATTAAACAAGTATTTAAAGACTCAATTGGAAATATCAATGAATATTCGAAGCCTGTAAAATGCTGTTCAGGCCAGGCCTATTTGGGGGATCAAGGTATTTATGTTATCAAACAAAAGTAAGTTTATTTGGTCAAAATAAAGCAAACCTTCAACCTTGCCATATTATTCACTGACTGGTGTGTTTTAAAATATCACAGAATACATCACAATATGTAGATGTACAATGTGGACTAGTGGAAAAGTGAATTAGACTACAGTTGTATTTGAAATGGTTCCATTCCATGTGAGGAGTTTTTACTTATTGTGGGTCAGCGTGTGTGTGTGTGTGTGTGTGTGTGTGTATGTGTGGGCGCAAGCTGAACAAAAAATGCCATAGGCAGCAGATTCTCATGCAGTCTTCCTGCATGCCTGCATATTGCTGCTTCCTAGCAAGACTCTTCTTTATAAGATTACCAAGAACAATAGCTGGAAGCAATGGGTCACACACTCTTCCTGGGTAAAGAGCAGCAGTGTGAATCTGTCCCTGGACACCACATCCTTGAAACCAGGCACTCTTACACCCCACACTACCCTGTGTTCTGTTAATTAGGGAAGAATATATTGTTTGGCCTTTTGCAGAAAGCTGGGATTTGTGAATAAGCCCTCTAATAAATACTGAGCACCCTGACCAGTCTAATAAGATCCAGATGCGTGTTGTGGGAGTGTTTTGATAAATGAGGATATGTCATCTGATCCAAAAAATGTAAATAATTTTGGTCAAAATCATACAGGCCAGTCTTTAATCATGTCACACCAAAGGTTGACCAGTACATTTTTAATATATTGCAAGATCTATTGCAATTAAAAAAGGCAGTGTAACTGCATTGTATTTTCTCCATGTCATGCTGTTAATGTGAGCAAGTTCTCCTTTGTGCTGATGACTGTAATGGGAGAGGCCAAGTGAGAGTTGATTGCTATGGTAGAGTAGCTAACAGTGAGTCAGACTCGAGTGTCTCAAAGAAAGGCAGGCTGTATGAGCCAGTTCCTAGGAAATGTAATCAGAGCTTAGTGGCACTAGGATAAATAGGTATGTACCAGAAAGATTTATTGTTACACAACAATTTCATAAATGGAGTAAAAAATCAAGAGCATGTGAATAAAGTTTAATACACTCTTATTTGCATTTACTGTCACATCAGCTGTCTTACCAGTAACTGCAGGTCAGGCTGCAGTTATATAAGTTACTGTGTTACTACCAAATGTAAATGTGTTCAAATAACTTTGGTCTGCTTTCAGATTCAATGTTGGTTATTGTCAGTAAACTATGACGTTGCATGTTTCAGCGTTTTCCCTGTTCTAACACACACAATTCAATTCATAAAGGGTAATAATTAGTTATTTAATTAGTTCATTAGGTGCATCAGGTGTAGGGCTGCATGATGTGGACATGAAATGCAATTTTCAGTAAAGCTGTTGGATATCACAATGACGATATGAGAAGCGATAAATTATCATCAAGTCCAGCACAGAGGAGCACTTGTTGGGCTTTTAACGCTACGTTCCCACCAATCTAATTACATCACTTTGGCACTGTGCGTGTGAGGTCATTCCGGTTCAGTCATCATAGCCCTTAACGGTGTGTACACCATGGAAACTTATATTGCCATAAAAATATGACTTAGCCCTAATTAGGTGCGTTTGGAGTCGAGCTAAGTATTATGAAAAATGTTTCAATATTGATGCCAGTACTGCTTCCGATCCTCTTTTTAATTACGGTGTAGCTGAAACCAGAAATAAGTATAAGGTGCTGGAAGTGGGTGTATATACTAACCGACTGTAGAATAATCAAGATGAGTGGACATTAATAACATGCTTACAGAATGTAATTTAGACAGCAGTCAGGATTTTGAAACAAGCATGCCGGTTAGCTTAAGACTGACTACTCAAGTACTGAAATCACATATTGAATGACACAGATTTCTTTGTTACTCTGTAGTAATTAGTTTCAAATTAATTCCGTAAATGTATTGAATTTCCAGTTGTGAGCAGCGGAAACCTCTAAAACGTGCAGGGCAGTGGTGCTCCGGGACCAGGATTAAGAATAACTGGCCTTGATGACATTAAAATCAAAATGAGTTCTTACTGTCCACTGACTGATTTGTTGGTATCTCTGCAGGTGGAGTCAGCTTGTGTGGGTACTGTGTGGTGAAGCGGAGAGAGGTGCCTAGACATGGCGGCCAACAAGGGTAAAAACCAGAGCTCCTTGGCACTACACAAGGTCATCATGGTGGGCAGTGGTGGGGTAGGCAAGTCGGCACTCACCCTCCAGTTCATGTATGATGAGGTGAGTAGTTGTGTTGTAATGCTAAGACTGTATAGGGTGTGTGGTTTAGATGTACACTGCCATCCAAAAGTGTAGACGTTTTCAGTAATATAAAAAATACATAAATGTATTCAGAATGATGAACAGAGTTGTAGATGATTCTGAAATTACTGAGAAGACAAAAATAAACTTGTAATTAAATAATACCCAGAATGCCTTGTATGCCACGATGAATAACCTGACAAAAAGATCATAAACTTGTTGTTTCAGAAAACTTAATATACATAAAAAACATCAACAGTTCCTTTGGTGTTGAATGTATAATCTTTAAATCTACACTGTGTAAGTTATTGTATATAAAATAGCAGAAATATTTCAAAATGCTGTTTATCTTTTTGTAAGCATTTTGGATATAAAGAGATTTGAAAAGAATAATAGCTGATGTATTTCTCTGATAAAAGTGGTATTAATTAGAGGTGGTAATATGACAATATTTTATCATTATTGTGATAAATTTTGTTGCCATTATGAACAGTATGCATTTCCGAGTGAAATGTCAGCACTTATGCTGGCTAACTGAATGTTTCATTACAAAGAGAGCATAATTAGCCTTTTTTGTGCAGCACAGTATCTGAAATGTTGAATAATCCTCACTGCATTTCACATTTTTGTAGCAGTTTCAAATGTGGTTGTACTACCACACTGTCAATATATTGTGATACATATTATGTATCGTATGCCTATAACTATCATGATATACTATTTTTTCTATATCACCCAGCCCTAGTATTAATCATAATATAGCATTGATATTTGTTGTATGTGTAAAGCGCTCTCCGAACAACGTATATCATGAAAAAAAAGAAAATTCTTGAAGGGCTATACTGAATTTTGGAATGAAATCTTTCGTTTATAGCCCATTGTCATATGATAATGAATGCATGAATGCATCTGTCCTTTGCACTGCAGTTTGTTGAAGACTATGAGCCTACAAAGGCAGACAGCTACCGAAAGAAGGTGGTGCTGGATGGAGAGGAAGTGCAGATCGATATTTTGGACACAGCTGGGCAGGAGGACTACGCAGCCATCCGAGACAATTACTTCCGCAGTGGAGAGGGCTTTCTGCTGGTGTTCTCCATCACTGAGCAGGAGTCTTTCACGGCTACAGCAGAGTTCAGGTCAGTAAGACATCACAGCAGCACAGCCGCATTTAAAAAATGATGGGGGTCTGCAGTTTGTGATCAGACTATTTTGTATCCTGCATGCTTGCCTCCCTGAATTTGCATTGGGTTTGTGTGTGAATTTACACAGAGAGCAAATTTTGCGTGTTAAAGCAGAGGAGGATAAGATACCTCTGCTGCTGGTGGGGAATAAATCTGACCTGGAGGACCGCAGGCAAGTGTCGGTGGACGATGCTAGAGGAAAGGCAGAGGAGTGGGGAGTGCAGTATGTAGAGACTTCTGCCAAGACACGTGCCAACGTAGATAAGGTTTGTCGCTTTATCTCTCTGTGTAGTTGCACATTTTATAGACTCAGCATTGTGTCAAGGCTAATCTGAAGCATATACTAACAAAACACTGTTCTTCCAAAGGTATTTTTTGACCTCATGAGGGAAGTGCGAGCCAAAAAGATGTCGGAAAATAAGGACAAAAATGGAAAAGGAAAGAACAAGAAGAACAAGAAAAGCTTCAAGGAGCGGTGCTGTTTACTTTGAACTCCACATGGACGTTTCCATATCAAATCCACTTGCTACTTTGAGGAACACTCAAACATTAAGAGCCTTTTCTTTATTAAAATCAAACGATAATTAGTAGTGTTTTTATACTGGCAGGTAATCACTGCCAATGCCTTTCGTTCAGTTATCCATGCAAACTATCAGATCAAAATCAAATGCTCTTTTTTTTTTGTTGTTTTTTTTTTGTTTTTTTAACGGTTCAAGACCACTCCGTGGCTACTTTGTCACAGACTGTAGCACTTTAGGACTTGGTAACATCAAGGTGACCAATCTGCACCCAACACTAATCTTTTTTTTTTTCCTTCTTCATCTTTGTAATTTATTTTTATTTCACAGTTTGGTCTAGCTCTAGAATATTTCAACTCTGTTTATCTTGCAGCCTTAAAAATATATTTTAGTTGTGGTTATGAATAATTTTTATTTCATTTATTCAAAAGAAATCTTTAACACCTGATGCCAAACAGTTCTTTGCAGATTAAACAAAATCCTCACAGCTTTTACACTTCTCAGATGTTTACATTCAAACATCCCTGAGTTTTGAAACCTTCCACCTTATGGAAATATATTAGGTAGGATAAATGGTAGCATCTTGAAACAAAATACAGTACTGTGCAAATTCAGAGACTACCCTTCATTTACTTCATTTCCAATCAAAATGGCCACAACTTAACAACTAAATTTAATGCAAAATGTTACAATATTTTATTTGTCCACATTTGCCTTTGTTACAGCTTCCATTCTTTTCAGGAAAATTACTTTCAGTTCAGAAATATGTTTCCACACCTCCAAAGTTCAGTCTTAGAAGTTGGTTGCATTTCTGCTTTCTGCAGTCTGATTCCCACAGTCCAAGTATTCATGAACTGAGGTCTGGACTCTGGGTTGGATGGTTCATTGTTCTGAGAACATCAGCAGCTCCTTTGTTTGATTTGCAAATGTTCTTTTTTTTTTTGTCTGTTTCCTTTTCAAAGTAATGGCTTCTTGACAGCTACACATCCTTTCAGACTCAGTATTGAGTTCTCACAGTGGAAGGGTGAACAAAATGTAACTGCTGCACCATTTAAGGTGAAAGGGGGAAATTTGATCAAGAAGCTGGCGAATAGAAAGCAAACTTCATCATATCTATATTCTCAAGACACAGAACTACATAAGCGATCATATGTCAAACCTTTTTTATCATATATTTAAAAGTCCATCTATGAAACAGGAGGGCTGTTTTGTCCTGTTAGTTGCGCTGGTTGCAAAGGCTCCGGTTATTTCAATGGTCACGCCAGAATGTAACTGCTGCACAATTTAAGGTGTAATTTGAAAATTCAAACAAGATGGCTTCAACTTTATTGAGGGTTAAAATGCATGAAAAAGGGTGAGGAGTTTGCTCTGTTTTAGTGGGGAACATTCAGTTATTTTTTATTTTAGCAGCAATCGTAGCGAGTTTGCTAACCCACAACCTAGCCAACATTAGTTACATTACTTTGTGTCATTGCTCGCTCTAATGTTATCATAGTCTTTGTCTGCACAACGCTTGCGAAGGGTTTTATGTCCATGAAGATCTAAAGTGTTTGCCTTGGCAATGCGTGTCCATGAATTTGGGGGGTGGAGCTTGTGAAGGAGAACTGATGGGAGGGGTGTATTTGTTTTGCTGTTGAGTTCAAATATCAGCAACAATGCTAACTGTGCCTTTAAATGTGGCATCCAATCATGCTGTTTATCTGATGGGGACAGTTTTGGTGTACCAGGTCTTGCATGATCATTGGGAGTCCTAATTTCTCTATATGTTTAATCATGTTTTGTGCTCCATGTTTTTTTCCCCCACTTACTATCCTTTCCTCCTACTTCGCTCTTCCTTGTGCAAGGATATCTAGTCTTCTTGGAAATGTCTCCTGAAAAATGCAGTTGTACTTACTGGCCATTTTGTCCAGAAATTAAATAAATTAAGGTTGGTCTCAAACCTTTGCACAGTACTGTATGTGGTAGAAAAAAGTGGAAAGTCTATTCTTAGTGTCTGTTGTTCAAGAAGCCATCCTAAAAAGCACATACGGTTTTGTGGCTAAGATGTGTGCCTGATTTCAATTCAGACAAATTAAGCGCTTCCTCCCTCCTAACCACTTCCACTGCTGACAGTTTGTGGAAGTACATTCAAGAGAGTGAAGTGCTGTTATGCTCAAAATTACAAGGTATTTTATCTCTTCATTATAGATTTGCTTAGTGAAAGTGCATAAGAGACATGTATAAGTGCTTGTTTTTATTTTGACTAGACTCAAAACAATGATTAACTTTGAAATAGGTTAACCCTTACAGTGACACAGCAGGAGCTACACTGCCCCCCAGTGGTTGAAGGAAACACTTGACAGAGAACACAGAGGCACATCATGTACTGCTTCTAACTAAATGCCTTGATGCCTCTATGTTGTATTGAAATATTTTTGTAGAAAGTATGTTGTGTCTGCCATCATCTGGTGAGAGAAATGTGCCATGACTACATGTGCCAACATAATATCGTAAGAAAAGGAATGACTGCTCTGACTGAATGTTAAACCAGTCCTGATGGTAAAGCTTGCTTTATTTGTTCTGGTCCACAGACCCAGTACTCGAAGTTCACCTATACCCTGCTACTACTCTTTTATACCATATAACATGACTTTGCCTTTCAGAGCTACTCTGCAGTTTTTATGATTGTTTTCCACTGCCTGAGGCTTCAAAGTATGTTGCCAAATAAACACATTTCTTTTGTCGTATTTCTGGATATGATCTTTAGCCTAGAGACAATGCGTGTAAGTGTTGGCACAATTTATCTAGTATGACTTGTTTAGGATTTGTTAAGGTATGATTCCAGGGTTCTGACAGACAAGGTGAACATAACTATCACTAGTCTCATAAGTGACAACCAGTCACTTATTCACTAACTTTGTGCTTCATGTCCAAGCAGAGCACAGTACCAACTTTCCTAATTTCCATGAGGAGAACTGTAGGGTGTCTGTAGGTGACTGGTTCAACAGACATGATGGAACACGGGGCCAGTTTGAGTGATCAGATGTCAATTATGTTGTGGTAAAGCATGTGAAATGCTGAAATAGGCACACATGATTTATAGCTGAAATGTGCACCCAGGTTGTAGCTTAAATGGGGATTGGCTAGGGGGTGCATAACTAACTATTAGAAAAGAAAAGACTTCTGTTGTCAAAATTTGGATTATTTTTAGAATATAAAAAGAAGAAAGGGGAATAAATCTGTTTGTAGTTTATTACATGTAGTTCATTATTGTTAATTATAATAAATTAGTCCAGGTTCTTCTCTGGCCTTCTTCTCTAAAACTTATTCAGAATTACCACCAAAAACACAAGCAAATATAAACCAGACAACACACTTCCATTTTTCCATTTTTTTCTATTAAATGAAAACACAGTAACAATAACACTCCAATCTGCCCTCAGGGGATGTTTGAATTTTGGAACCAACGAACATCAACAAAACAATACCTGATTAAGCCATCGTGGAAAGGATTATTCTAATATACCTGTTTTGTTTTAAGGTTTGTGTTAATTTGCTCGAGTACTACAGCACTAGAAAGGATGCATACAACAAATTTTTATCCAGTGACTTTATTTTTCACTGAATTACTGAGTTTTACTTAATAATCACTGAATTATAAGCACTGAATTATTAAACATGTCTGTTTTTATACTTTTGCTTGTGATGACTCCCGTCACAGTCACAATCCACAGAAAGCCCATTCAAATGTAGCAAGCATTAGCTAGCTATCAAAATCTTAACATTAACAGTGAACCAAACACTTTAATTATGACAAGGACAAATATGCATTTTAGTCTGACCTTTCCAAGGTATGTCAGTGCATGACAAGCTTTTAAATGACTAAAATTATTATTAAAATATAATTCTTGTGAGAAATGAGTGGTTAAATGTGCATATTTAGCTCTTGTAACAGCTCCTGTAGCTCTTGAATTGAAAGTGCACAGTTCAGTTTACACTGGCAAAAAATCAATTGGAACATGTAATAATTAGAATGACAAAAAAGTACAAGTTCCTTTTGTTCTACTACTAAACATGTTTACTTGTTCAAATTGAATTGAACATTTTGGATTAAAACCAAAAACAGCTTTTGTTGAGGAAAGGATTTAATGTTTAGACAACAAGCTTCAGGTGTAAGGAATCAACCTCTTATCCAGCTAATCAATCTGTTCAGTCTGTTGACACTTTACAGTCCCATACAACAATCAGATTTATTCAATCCGCTCAATAAAACACATTCAGTGTCTTTGGGTAAGGTTGCTGATTTCCAAATGAGGCATACTTGGCATGTTCGCCACTGGTTTTATGGTAAAAGCTTGATCTATCTTCCACAGGCCCAGACTGTAAGTATGCGCTGGGGAGCCATTTACCAAAAGCACATAAATCCCTGTTTCAATCCACACCTCATTTTCCCATCACGTCCTATATAGCTGTGATTCTCTAGAAGTGACAGAATTGAAATGGGAAGGACATAAAAGAGTTCTGACAAGATCTGTGATACTTCTGATGTGGCTTTTATCTCCGAACCAGAGTGATAACTTACAGAGAATAGTAAACACCCTGTAATGGCCAACTTTGGCCACTGGGTGGCAGTCATGTCATTCATCCACATTGTGTTTTAAATTTGAATGAAATACAGTTTCAGTGCTACAGAATCTTTGTTGGCTGCCTCAAATGAAATCATTTCATCACATTGGCATGAATGGGTCCCAGTACCACTTCAGTGGAGGTGGGATGTGCATCATAAACCAGCCACTGGGTCTTTCAAAGAAGCACCGACGCCTGGTATGAATATTTTCTTGAGTATAACAATGCATCAGCGTGCACATTTACACAAAAATTTAAAATCAAAGAAAATGTGACCAGACTTGATCATATTTACCTAAAATAAGCAGATTACTTGGGGAGCAGACAGAAAAAGGGGTCAGTCAGAGGGCTTCGATATTCCAGTTTGGAAATAGTAATGAACTGAAACCTGTTCTGCACTCTGTGCTGATATTTTTTCCCCCTGAACATCTGCACATTTGACATGTCCCTAGAAATGAAAGAAATATATTCGCTTTCCTATTGCATCAATTCTAGTGTTCAGGTACTTTTGTGGGTAGCAGGTTTTCCAGACATGGATTAAGGCTAGCTTTAGGCTAAATTACACTGTGAGTTCCTCACAGGCTTCCTCTACAGTTCCTGTAGGTTTAATTTAAGTCTGAAAAAGCAGGTTTACTTGAGATAGTCCATTATGCCAGAGATGGACTAGAAACTGACCTGCCTGGATGCAGAGTCCCACTGTCAGTGGTAGTGCCATGACTGTCAAGCTAAGGCACATGGGTTTCAGTAGATTAGCCAGAGGCATGAGGCCAACACACCCTCGTAAAGAAGGCTGAGATGCTGCCATTTTCCTTTTTTCTTGGCTTGACAGGATGACCTTTCACTCCAGCAAAGCCTTTTGTTTGCTGACCGTCTCGTACACCAACAAAAGGGACGAAAAGCCCTTGAGACTAATGAGGTTCCGTTTATTAGAGCTCATGGCACCCTCAGGGCCTGGTGCCACAGTGATGTAAATATATGCATTAGTCCTCGGCATGGGTAATTTCGGAGGAGCAAAATGAGCTGTGATGGTGCTGATGAAAAGGGCACCGATAGCAAATCACTCCAGCAGCTCT